GTGAGGGCTTTGTTAAATTTTGTGCCCTGTTCCTTCCTCTTGTCCTCAGTCCTAGCGCTATAGTTCACTCCTCATCCCTCCTTCCAGGACCTGGGCCCATTTGCCAGCCTCACCCTACCCTCAGGTCCCCAACCCTGAATGCAGAAACAGGGTGGACCCTCCTCCCTTGGCTGCTGCTTGACGCTCAGGTTCCTAATGGCATCCCAGCTCTTTCGACCACCACGTCGCTCTGTTGACGCATAGCCCAGTATCACCTAAAGCCTGGGCTCTCTCCACAGGACGGCAACCAAGCCAGATCTTCCCCCCTCGTGCCCTTCTCCGTGGATTTTGGATCTCCTGAAAAGACCCTTAAAGGGGCACCTGTGTGGCTCAGTAGGCTAAGCATCTCCTGTCTTTGGCACCAGTCTTGATCTCAGGGTCCTGAGATGGAGCCTGGTGTCTGGCTCCGTGCTGGGTGTGGAGCCTCTTAATGGTCTCTCTCTCCCTCTCCCTCTCCTTCTGCCCCTCCCCCCACCTCTCTAAACAAAAAAAAGAAAAGAAAAAGAAGGTATTCAAGAACCTAAGCAATCAGAGCCGCAGAGGAAAGGGTCTAGGATGAGAGGAGACGGGAGGACGAAAGGAAGACAGGGCCGAGGTGATGGGGTCAAGACATCAGGGAATGCAGCCAGGGAAGAGGGCCCGGAATTTAGAGACCGGCAGAATCTGAAACCTGAACAAGGCAGCCAAGAGAGAGAGTTTGGGAAAAGGAAGAACTCAGGACAGGTAGGGCTTGGAGAAGGAAGTGACCCACCTTCCTAGGGCCGGAAGCAGGGAGAGGGCGCTGAGACCAAGCAGATGAGCGTGGGGAAAATTAAGCTAATCAGGGAGGATAAATTAAGCAGGAACACAGATCTCCACAAGTGTGGCCTTGATTCTGTGCGGAGTCTTGGATTAAAGGGAATAGCCGTAGCCGGGCTGGCTCTGGCTCTGTCCTCTCACTTCCCACCTGTCTGTGCCCGGGGAAGGGGGATGGGGAGAGGCTGTCCCTATTGCATAGGGGGCTGGACATCCTGACACCCTTGAGCTCAGGTAAGGTTCTGAGGAGGGGCAGGATGGGCTTCTCTCCTCCTCTAGAATTCTCCAGGACCAGACGTCTAAGCCTTCCAGAGAACGGGCCCCTCAGCCGCCGGGAATGCAGACAGAGGCCGGAGGGGATACTGGATCCGGGGTGGGGGTGGGGGTCTGCATTTCAGCACTGGGCTGCCCGGGGCCACAGGGCAGTGCAGCACAGGAATGACGAGATGGAACTGAGAGTTTGCAGAAAGCCGAAGAACGTCAGCCCCATTGAATCCTGTGGCCCTTGGCCAAGAGTCCTGGTTTTCAAGAGGAGTCCATGAGCCCGGCTCTGCAGGAGGGGAAGAGAAAGGCAGAGCAGGGCCTCCACGGCTGAAGCTGTGTAACCTTCTACTCTGGGGCCCCGGGGTTTCCCTTAACCGGGCCGATGGGGATGGGGGCCTCTGGGGGAGGAGAAAAGGGGAAGGAGGTGTTTGGGGACAAGGGGGCGGTGCTAAGGGCAGGAAATGAGCTAGGAACCACCATCACCTTCCCTCCCCGACAGGAGCCACAGCCCAGAGCAGCAGAGAGGACAAAGAGGAAATGACAGATTGGGGTGGGGTGGGATGGGGGGGGAATGTGCCCTGCTCTGGGAGGAGCTCCAAGTGCCAAAAACAAGCTGGACTGGGCGGCCAGGGTCCCTGCGGTCAACTTCAAATCAAATCCAGCTACATTAATGAGGGGCTGCTCCATGCCAGACTGAGCCCAGGGCTGCCCCTGCTCCTGCTGGCTTCCGAGCCCCTCTAGGGAACCCAGGGAAACAGTAGACAGGCCCCAAAGACAGCCCCACACCCATTCCTTTGCACCCTGTACCCTTACCCTCCAACCAGCCTCAGGGCATCTCTCTTATCCTACTAGCGCCCCCCCATTTCAGCAGCTTCTCCCCACCCCCTGCTTTGAACCTGTCCCTCCTGTGCCCAGGGAGGGCCATGGAGACTGTGGGAGGTCCCAGCCCACGCCCTCACTGGCAGCCCAGCAAGGCTGCATGAGGGTCTGAGCGCTGGATCCCCGCAACCACGTTCCTGGACGCTCTCCTCCGACCAGGAAACCCCCGTCCTCCCCAGCGCCACCGTCAGACTCTCCTAAGAGCCCTTCTCCCGGCTCCTTCCATTCAGTCCCAAGGATCCTCCATTGGCCTTTCCATCACTCCTCTGCTGACCACGTCGTCCCCCCAGCCTCCTGCTCTGTCCCCTGTAGTGATGCCGTCACCTCTCTTTTGCCTGCTTCTCTTCTGTTTCTCACCTCTCCATCCTCTCCCCGCCCCCCAGCCTCCCCATCCCCAGGTAGTTACACAAGGGGGCTCCCCGGCCTTCTCCGCTCAGCCACGTTTCCTACAGCACCTGCTCCTCAGGCTCCTGGGTGCTGACCCCACACCACTGCCCCGAGCACCTGGGTGCTGCCTCTGCCCCTCGCTCCGTGCCCTCCACTCCGCAGCCACCCTGAGCCGCCTCCTTACCCTCCTGGCCCGAACGCTGCAGCTGGTCCTGCAAGTCACAGCCGAACACCCTCTCCTTCGAGCCGCCCTTCTTCTTTCCCTTTTGCCGAGACTTCATGGCTGGAGCCCCCTGGGGCCCTGGCCCAGCCCCTTCTGCCCCCCCAAGACCTTTGCCCTACCAGTCCCCCATAGGATCCTAAGCCAGCCTCTGGGCTTGGCCCGGCCCCAGGGGGCAGGGCTCCAACCTGGGGAGGGTGGAGGGTGGCCTGGGCAACAGGCAGCGGCTCCTGCCTCTGCCTCTGGGGCCCCCGGCTACACGGAAGTAGCTGTGGAAGAGGAAGCTGCCCGGACCCTGAAGAAGCTGGGTCTCGTGGCCCAGGCTGGCACTCGCCCCTCTGGCCCTGCTCAGCCCTGGGGGAGCAGGAAGCTGTGCAGCTCCTCCAACCCGCTTCCTGTTAGAGCATCTTTGCAACCACAGGGCCTGGGGTGGGGGAGGCAGCTGACATTCACATCCTCAACCCATCACTGGGACTTCGCTCATTGGTCAAGGCCACGTGACGTCAGAGCCCCGGGGTGGGGTGGTGGCGCCTGGGGCGTAGGCAGGTGACTGACACCCTTAGAGACCAGAATTTGGGGGGTCGGGGCAAAGCCCAGAGGCTGGCCCAAGAGCCAGGTGGCCCAGTGCCCTGCAAGGGGAGGGAGGATGCCAGGCTCAGCCCGAGATGGGCCCGTGACCTCAGCCAAGACACGTTACCTTGCTGAGCCTCAGTGTCCACACGTGTGACCACGAAGAGGGTAAACTGGGTAACCTTAATCCTTCCAGCTCTTTCTGTGGAACTCACTTAAGTGTCAGCCTCTTTGTCTGTAAAGAATGGACTCTCCTGCCCGCCTCCAAGGCTTGTTTTGGGGAGACTCCAATGAGACCCAGGAGTGACAGCACCAACCCACGGGGGCGCTGGCTGTGCGGGAAGGGGCTTTTCACTCTATCCACCTACCCGGGAACTCTCAGAGGTGGCCCAAGGCATCTCTTTCCCCTTTGCCTCCCAGCCACTAGCGTCCCAGCCCCTCCCCTACGTGGGGCCACGGGAAGGCTGGTGCTGAAGGGTGCTGAGTGGTTCAGGGCTCACATAGCCCAGAGGTGAGAGACGAACCAGACACAACAGCTTTTATCTGTTTATTTAAAAACAGAGTATCATTTTATGTACAAATATGCACATATTTACACAAAATGTACAGACTAAGACCCCAGATCTTTGGGCTCCGCATTCAAATTCCTGGGCTGGCTGGGGAGCAGGGGATGGCGTCTCTCTGTTGGTCCAGAAATCCAGAGGATTTCAGGCCAAGCAGGGTTTGGGCACAAAACCTGGGTGTTCTGGCTGAGCATATTCAGGTGGGCCAGGTGACAATCCACAGTGTCCAACCCCAGTCCAGACCAGCAGAAACCGTGGGAAGAGCCCCAGGGGAGTGATCCCGAGGCTCCTGGGGGAAAGGAGACATTCTTGTCCCCAGCAACTCCTTCACACCACCCTAACTCCCCCCTCCCTCAGGCTGTAATCACTACCCTATCTCCCTGACACCACAACCAAACCAGGAGCCCTTGTCCCCCAGTCTCCACAACCTCCCCACCCCCACCCCGAGGGACCACAGACCACTGTAGATGCAGTGAGGAGGAGAGAGGCGGCTGGGGGAAGGGCCCAGGACCCTACCCTGTCCTCCTGCTGCCAGGGACCCAGGGGCTCACGCCCCGACTCAAGACTCCACAGCACCAGGCTCCCGCCCAAGAGGCTGCCTCAATTCAAGTGCTTTCGAAGGAGCACCTTTCCGAAGCCCAGGCATGGACCCCTTGCCAGGGTCTGAGCAAGGTCCAGGTTTGCTGACTTCCCATGGAGGCTGGCCTCGAGCTAAGCCAACCAAGTAATAACAAACATCCAGATAAATCAAAAGTTTTTTTGTTTTTGTTTTTAAAGATGTGTTTTCTCTTATTAAAGTATTCGGAGCAGTATTCCTTGAAGAAACTCCCCCAGCAGGCTTAGGTATAGAAAATATGCACATGCAGCAGGCCCAGACGCCACCAGAGGCCACCAGAGAACACCGGAGGGCCAAGGGCTTCTCCAGTAAGAGTGCTAGTCCCCAGCTGTCTCCTGGGCTGGCCACTTCAACATTTGCCCCTGGGCTCCCCAGTGGTGGGAGCCCGGCTCCCCAGCTCAGGAGGCCAGAATCCAGTTCCAGCTCTGCCTGCACACCTGGGTCTGACCCACAGTCTCCGCCTCTCCCCTCCAACCTCTGCGTCATTAATACTGCTCTGGGGTCTGAGGGGATAACCTCGGCTTCCAGGTAGAGGGGACACAGCCACGCCATACACAAGCCAAGCCCATCTTAGTTCACTTGGCCTGTAACACACACACACTACACACACACACACACGCACACGGTCTGTGAACACCCACACAATCATGTGTGCACACGTGCACACACGGGAGGGTGGGGAGGACTCAACCGGCAGAGCCCCACCCTCGCCGAACAGAAGGGTTGGAGGAAAATGTCGAGCAGTCAGTGGGACGGGGAGCAGCTTCCTCAAGAAACAAAGTGTGTAGGGAGGCCCCCATGATGAGTAGAGATTCCCCAGGTCAGCAGAAGGAGCCGGGTTCAGGGGAGGGAGGCAGGCCTGGGTCAGACCAGATGCCCCCGCCCATTGATGTAGATGCCATTGCCCGTGGGTTTGGCCCGCAGGGTCCCATTCTCTTGAACGAAATGGTTCATGGCGTGTTTGATGCCTTCATCCCGGTCTTCCTCCTCCTCGGCCCGCGCAGAGCCCGGAGACAGCAGTTCTGTCTGTGTTTCGATCTCCCTCACCGTGGTCAGTGTGGAGTAACTGCGGCCCTCTGGCTCTTCACTCTGGACACCGAGGGCGGAGGGCGCGTCAGGAACCCGGGCAGGGCCACCAGATGGGATGGGGGGTGGGGGCAGGGAGGGAGCCAAAGGGTCAGAGGTGAGGCGAAGGCTCCGGGGCTCGGAGCTGGGGCCTGGGAGCAAGTGTCCGGCACGGGGAAGGACGGCGGGAGAACACAGGCACGGCAGACGTGCGGGGGCAGAGACACAGGGACTGGGGCGGGGCCGCTGGCCCGCCACCGCCACCTCCGGGAGCAGGAGAGGGGCCTGAGGAGAGCAGTGGGGACGCCGGTGGGGCCGGGGGCCTCACCATCACAGAGCAGCTACTGTTGTCCTTGAGACTATCAGGGTGGCCCTCGGCTCTCAGCCCTACACTCTCCTCCGGCTGTGGGTCCCGGACATGGGGGAGGAGTCAGAACAGGAATCGCAGTCCTCCCTCACCACCTCTTCCCCCAACCCGACCTGTCCACACTCCCTGACGCGGGCATCCGCCGCCAACCACTCAGCCTCACCGGGAGCCGCTGTGGATGGTGGCTCTCAGCACAGCCCCCAGGCCCGGGGCAATCGCGCCCCCAGCTCCCCCACGCCAGGCCCCGCTGCGAGTCAGGGGCCGGAGCTGGTGGAGGGCTGTGCTCTTAGTGCGCAGAGGGACCCCCAGCCCCGGGGGATGCACCCAACCCCGGCACACACCTGGCTCCTGGGGTCCGCGTGATGGGAATGCAGCCTCCGGATGGAGTTCTCCCTGGTCAGGGTCAACTCCTCCTCACTGGGAAAGACAGGCTCCCCTTAGCTGCTGAGGCTGGTCCTGGGCTCCCAATGTGGGCCCAGCTGTGGCCAAGCCTATGTGAGATGGCGCTGGAGAGGGCGGGTGCTGTGCTGTCCCCACGTGTGAGTGAGTGGCTGCAGGTGACAGGGTGTGTGTGTGTGTGTGTGTGTGCACGCGTGCGTTGGAGTGTACGTACTCGGTGATACCCGGGCGTCTGGACTGGACCCTCACTCAGCAGTGCGGTTCTCCCTCTCCAGCTGTGGTCCAAACCCTTCCCACTTCCCGAAGCCCTTGGCCCACCTCCCGACCACAAGCTCCGAGTCTCCCCTCTCTCCCCTGGCCTGGCCCCCACCTCCCTCTCACCTGGTCTTTGCTCCCAGCTTAGCTCTACCCGCCGGGGACAGGCAGTACTCACTACTTCTGGGTCATCTGCTGAGCCTTGCGCCGATGGTACCGAGACATGAGCACCACCACGACGACCAGAAGGCAGAACAGGAGGGCGGCGATCACACCCACCACCACCACAGAGGCCGACACCAGGTCCACCTGCTTCCCGGGGGTGTCCTGAGGGTCTGCCAGGAACAGGCCTCTGTCTAAGGAGGATGCTCAGATCCCTGACACACCCGCAGCCCTCACAAACCCTGCAGCCTGGTCCTCGCCGAACACTCTCAAACCACCGGCTCAGCCTGACCCTCTGCAAAGTAGTCCCGCAGTCCCGCCCCCCCCATCAGCACTCCCACAGTCCACCCTCTCTGTCTCACTTGCTAGTGGCCCTCTGGGCCCTTGGCCCAGCACCCCTACCCGCCCCCCCGCCGTGTCTGCCCTGGGTGCTCACCAAGAACATCCACAGTGACCTGAGAGTCCCTGGAGGAGAGCTCATTGCTGACGTGGCAGACGTAGATGCCACTGTGCTCCGTGGTCAGGGGAGGAAAGCCCAGCGTGTCCCCTTCCGCTCGGACCCCGCTGGGCAGGGGCCCGTCCAACCTGGAGGACAGGGAAGCTGGGGCGGGCGGAGGCTGCCACCACCCAACGTGCCTGGGCAGCTCTCCACCTCCCTCCCCCATGACGTCACCCAGAGCCGCTGGCTGTTCCCACGGTGCCCCTCCCTCCCCTGGGCAGGTCCAGGCAGAGGCCCCTTCTCCCCGCCGCCCAGCCTGACCCGGGCACCCCCCACACACACCCGGGGAAGATCCACACGCGAGCCATCCCACAGGCTCCCACAGGCCTCAAGTCATCCGGCGCCGGGCACCAGGCCGACGTGGTCTGAGGGCCACACGACAGGACACCCCTTTCCTATCTGGGCTCAGTCGTACTTGGAAAATGTGACCGCACGACCCAGCACCCGGCGTCCCTAACGTCAGGACACTGGAGCGGAGCCCGAGGCACGAGGTCACGTGCATGGCTCGGCGTACAAGAGCGCACCCGTTGAGGGCTCCCACGGGGGCGCCTGACCCCTCCCCAAGCCCCTGGACGGCTCCGATCCAATCCTGCGGAGGCGCCGGCCATTCTAGGGGGTCATGGTGTCGGTTTAAGAGCAGTCACGGCCAGCTCTAGCTTTTTGTCTCGCCCACTTTAGGCACTCACCTAAATACACAAAATGCTAATATTTAAGATAGTGTATTGTATGTCATAATTCTAAAGTTAGGGGGAAAAAAATCCCAAGGATTTACTGTCTTATTCCCTCCCAGTGACCACGTATGGTAGACTCCCTGGTAGGAGTCAATGGTAATGTCCTTGTGACCACAGGTAATCTTGCACAGGTCTGGGCATGGGGCTCCATTAATTTGGGGTTCAGGATAGATAGCCCAGCCCATAAGGAGCACATGGCGGCCCAGTAAGGCAGGGACTGTCCCGCAGGGCTAGGCCCTTACCGTGTCCAGTTGTACGAGGGTGGGGGGTGCCCTTCGCTCAGGCACTTGAGGGCAGCTCCTTCTTTGCCAACCTGCCACAGCTTTTGGTCTTCAAGGCCCCGCACAGAGGCCTCAGCGAGGACTGGCATGGGAGGTGGGAGGAGAAAGCAGGGGAATGAGGCTTTTGATCAGACCATCAAGCTGTTCCTCGAAGGGGCCAAACCTGGCCTGCCCATCCTGGCTGGGTCCTTGCAGCACGGCCCCTTCCCCTCTCCGAGCTCCGTGTCCATATTGATTCATCTGGGCAACGAGCCTCCAAGTCCCCCGGAAAAGATTCACACTTTTTCTGGATCCCTGTGGTTGCCCGCGGTGGGCGAGTCACAGAACAGGTGTTGCATACACGCTCCCTGATTTTCCAAAGGCTCAATGATCCCGCTCATTCACATATCTCTTTAACGAACATTTGCTGAGGACCTACTTCGGGCCACATGCGGAGTTAGTACGAACAGAAAAGAGTCCTCTGCCCGAAGAGGCTGAGACTCGAATGCCCGGAAACCCCTTTCTGCCGCTCCCTGAGGACCATCCAAAGCTCTCTGTGTGTGAGGGCCTTGGCCTTCGCGGCTTCTGATTCTGATCAGAGCCCCGTCAAGTCCGTATAATGACACTCCTGCCACTGCTGGGGACAAGGCAGACAAACAAGACTGAGTAACAGCTGGTAGGTAGTGGAAGGAGGGCTTGTCCAACGAGCACGAGGGCCACGTGGTGTGGCCGGCAGCCCTCGGCAAGCCTGTCTGCACGTATTTCAAAACGGGTTTTCAATCCCGTGTTTCTACCCAATTCTCCCCACAACCCTGCGGAGCAGGGCAATCTCCCTTGTAAATAAGGTCAGAAGCTCAGAGCGGTCTGAGTGATCCATCAAGGTCCTCCGGGACGGCCTTATCTCCCTTTGCACCAATGCTCTCTCAGCCACACAAGGAGGCCTTAGGCTGCGGTGGCTCAGGGTCTCTCTTCCCAAGATCCGTGTACTCACAGGCCACATGGAGGATGTGGGTGATCCTCTGGTCCTGGAGCAGGCCGGGGTGGGACACCACGCAGGTGAGCGGCTGCCCATTCATGCTGCGGCTGGGCACCAGGTGGAACTCTGACGTGACAGCAGCTGAGCGGGAGTGCTTGAACGAGCGGCTGGATGCGGTGCCCTTGACCTCCGTGTCCCAGGTCACGCTGGGGGCTGGGCTGCCCTCTGCTGTGCAGGAGGCTGCTAGCGTCAGACCCTGGCCCTCTTCTAGCGCGGGACCAGGGTTCAGAGAGGGCAGGGGAGGCACTGCGGGTGGTGGGAGGCAGGGATCACGGTCAGCACACCCACCAGGAGGCCCTGCCCCGTCCCAGCTGTGTCTTGCACAGGCAAACATTTTCTGGCCCTTTTTCTTCTCTTATTTCACCAACATAGACACCAGATGAATGGTAGAATTTCAGCTGACTTTGTACCTTTCTCTATTATTTGATTTTTTTTTATCATGAGCATGGATCATTTTTTAATAAACGAATGAAGTAAACAAAAAGCCAATCAGACAACATCTGTACCCTAATAATCACAACCACCACCTCCAAAGCACTCATTATGTGCCGGGTATTGTGCTGAACACTTTATAAATGTTATTTCATTTAATCCTGTCAACAGACCGGCAAAATAGGGATTACCCCTGAGTTACAAGAGAGGAAACTGAAGCTTGGGCAGGTGAAATCATTTGTCCCAGATCATCAGCTATAAGGGGAGGAAGCCAAGATTCACACTTGGCATTTTCACCCCCTGGGCTAGTGTTACTAAGTTCCACGTGGATAAGAGAAAACTAAAGGTCTTTATTTTTTATCTTCCTAACATGTCCAGCTCAAGCTCAGAATGGAAAAGACTTAACTAGACCACAGGTCTGGGGCATCTGTGGACGACAAGTGCCCACACTGCAGAGCAGGGGTTTAAAAGTGATTGTGATCTCCAACCCAGCCACATTCACACAAGGTCCAGAACGAGAAAAGTGTCAGCCACGCTAGTCAAAGCTGAGTCTGCGTGTCCCTATCTCAGCCCCACGTTTTTTGATTTTTGTTGTCGTTGTTGTTATTTAGGAGAAAGAGAGCACAAGCAGAGGGAGAAGCAGGCTCCCCTAGTGAGCACGGAGCCCAATGCGGGACTTGATCCCAGGACCCTGGGATAGTGACCTGAGCCTAAGCAGACACTTAACCCTCTGAGCCACCCAGGCTCCCATCAGCCCCATGTTTTAAAACCATGGAACCCAGGATGGCAAGAGAGGCTGTAAATGAGTGGTTTTGGTGGAACTGTCACAGAAACTAGCAAGTGTAGCTTCCGGAAGAGGAGATGGGAGGTGAGCTGGGGAGAGGAAAGACCTCTGAAAGGCTGGGGTGCAGAAGGCAGAATGAGCCTGGGCCACGTTGCTTCTGAAGGCCAGAGTGACCAAGGTGTGTGTGTGGGGGGGGTGTGCAGGTCAACAGAAGGAAGAATGTTCTAATAAATGGATTCTTCCCCAAGGCTGACAGAGCTGTAGGTAGCAAGCTGTTGAGGTCACTTGGAGAGAATTTCTAGATTGGGTGGGAGAACTGACTGGATGAGGCCTCCTCACCCCTGCAGGGCCCTCCCCCTCTTAGTCTTGCTCTCCCTCCGCCCCATGCAATTCTGCAGACCCCATCTCTGCGTCCCCGGGCTCCTGCCTTCGAAGGCGCGCGCTGCGCGGACCTGGGGCAACTGCATCCGCGGCACCCCCCCAACCGCACGCGGCGCCCCCACTTACCCAGCACGCGGAGCCGCAGCCGCGCCTGGAAGCTGCCCGCGGGGAAGGTGCTGACGCGGCACTCGTATTCGCCCTCGTCGGCCTGCACCGCGTTGCGCAGGAGCACGGAGCCGTCCAGGGGGCTCCGTGGGGGCGGTGGCTGTTCCACGCGGCCCTCGTAGGCCGCGCTCACGTGCAGCCCGTATTGGATATGCAGCAGCGCTAGCTCCCGGGGGCCCTCGCCCGCGTCCACCCGAGCCCAGGCCACCTGCCCCACCTGCTCGCCGGGGTCCCCTCGGTAGAAGCAGGGCAGCTTGGCGTCCTGGCCCAGCACCACGGTCACCAGGTCCGAGGTCTCCAGCTCGCCGGGCCGGCACCAGCCTGCAGGGGGCGGACAGGAGCGGCCAAGATTAGGGGTGTCGCAGGAACCGGGGTGGGGGTGGGGGGGTGAGGGTGGGGGCACACTTATGCATGATGACAGAGAAGGCCACCAGAACTCACTTTGTGCTTGCCAAGCACCTTCTGTCCATTACCTCATTACATCCACAAAACCTGCCCAAGAGGTGGGCGTCATTATCACCATTTAACAGATGAGGAAACTGAGACCCAGAGACAGGAAGTGCTTGCCTAAGGCTATCAGGTCCCTGGCTGCAAGAGTCACACCCTCTTCCAGCCCAGGATTGTGTCCCGGGGAATCGTGAGGTGGGAGGCTCTAGCTGAAAGAGAGTTACCCAGCTTCTACCCTCGGGGAGCTCATGGTCCTGTCCCAGAAATGGATTTTACTCAGAAAAGACAGGGGAAGCCAGGGACAAACTTTCACAGAAGGTTCCACCTACCAAGGGGGGGGCTGGGGCAGGGAAATGAATGTTGTCAGGAGGTGTGGCCAGGAGCCAAGGCAGGGGTCTAAAGCAGCAGGGGTCAAAAACAGCTGGCCTCTACGACGGGGCATGCAGTGTGGGAAGGGTCCAGCCCAAGAAGCCTTTCAGAACATTCTTTTCATGGCTTGAAGATGAGAGACCTGGATTCCCAGAGAGAAGAAGGTATTCTCTGTGGGAGGAATGGCACGAACCAAGGCTCAGAGACAGGAATGAGCAAGTCACAGAAGAACAGAGAGGCCCCAGGTCAAAGACCCAGAGAGACGAGGTCAGGGCAAACACATGGCGACGGGGTCAGGACCAGGGCCAGGAGCAGAGGACCGAGGCAGGGACCAGCGAGGAAGTGTGCATCCACGAGGCACCCTGGCGTCGCTATCATGTCCCCTCATTTTCAAAGAAGGATCCCTTCCTTGCCCTCATGTAACCTGAGATCTGTTCAGAAAGAAGAAATAGATCTGGGGACAAATACGGAAAGGTGGGACAGACTCGGGTCTAGTGCCCAGTGGTGTGTTGCAGCCTAGCTGTGGGATGGGACAGTCACTGGGGACCTGAGTCCTGTGGGAGGGCCTCATGCAGGAGTCGGGGAGGACCAGAATGGGGAGAGACCTGGAAAGGGATTCCGGGTGCGGGGCCGAGGTGGGCAGACCTGAGGGCCGGAGAGGCTGGCTGGTTCAGGAAGCAGAGAGGGAAGGACACACCTCAGGCAGAGGGTGTGTGTTGAGCAGGAGTGGGACACGAGGTCAGGCCTTCCACACCAGGCAGAGGAGGACCGGGGAATCAGCGCAGTGAGGGGCCAGGGGTGACGTGCCCTCCGACGGGAAAGCAGGGACTCTGGAGACAAGAGACACTAGGAACGTTCGTGCTGTGGGACGGGGGGCAGCGTGGGGGGCGCCCCTGGGAGACTGGGCAGGATTTGATCACTGACCAGAAGGAGAGATGAAAGACAAAAGACAAAGACAAGTTTGGTTTCTAGGCTGAGTGACTCAGGAGGGAGGCAGGGCCTGGGGCAGCTTGGGGTCAGGGAGAAATCCACGGGGAGCTGTGGAATAAAGCGTGGGAAGCACAGTGTAGGGGCAGAGTAGGGGCTCGGCCTGGGATGGCGAGAGCTCCTTGCCTTGGAACGGACATCCCGCAACCCCAGCCCCTGCCTCTGGCCAGTACTGCACACGCCTCGCGCACACTGGGCCCCTCCTGGAAGGCCCTCCTCCCTCTCTGTCTGGGAGCTCCGCTCCTCCAGGCTGGGACTACTCATCCTTTAGGACTCCGCTTAGACATCACTTCCTCCAAGAGTCCTCCCTCCCCCACCCCCATCCCCACCTCGGGCAGGGCGAGGTGCCCTCCCCTGTTCTGCCCTGGCACCCTGCTCTCGCCTCACCAGAGTCCTGCATCCCCAGGATGGCGTTCGCTCTTTTCTTGTCTGCCTGTCCCATTGGACAGAGCTCCCCGAGACCTCACGGAGGGAAACCTGGTTTCCGATTTAGCGCTTGGTGGTACTTAATGGGTGCTCGATTCATTTTATTGTCTGAATGAATGAATGAGAGAGAAAGAGAGAGAGGCAGAAGAAGGAAAAGGTAGAAGGAAGAGGAATGAGTCTTCAGCTGGGCTGGGCAGACAGGGAAGGGGTCGGCACCGCAACCAGGGGTGTGGGCTGGATAGGCTGGCTACCTGGGTCTGCGGCTAAAGGACCGCACAAAAGGAGAAAGAAGCCAGGTGGGCGGTGGGGGGCAGTTCTCCAGGGAGAAGGTGAAGCCCCACGGGAGTGGACCAGAGGGTTCCAGGGACTCAGAGCCCGGGCCAGGGGAAGGGGGTCCCATGGCCCTGCCAGCAGGGGCGGAGGGAGGATGCCGTTGGGAGGACCCGAACAGGACGGGACAGACCTGCAGGGCCAGATACCAGGGCCCTGACCTGCCTAAGCTGGTCTTGGTCCCACCCAGCCCAGCCTGGGGAGTCCAGCTAACTACCCGCACCCCTTCCAGACACCTCCTCCTGGCACTGGGGTGAGCCAGGCTGCCAAGGAAGGGCCGGAGGTGGGCTTGAGATAGGGGCTCACCCCCCGCACAAGCTCCGCTTCAGATGCTGCTGTCTGTGGGCGCAGGGATCCCAAGCCCTGGTCCACTGGGCCGCTCTAACCTCCGTAAAGACTATTTCTGGGACGATGTCAGATGGCATATTTCCATCCCTATCCCTACCCTTGCCAACCATCTGCCCCTCTCCACAACTGATCAGCCAGGTTTTCCCCGACACATACCTTCTTTAGGGCATGAGAGGCATAAATGCCTGAGTCGTAATCCTCCCTGTCCCTCCCTGTGAGTCCAGGATCCCCGCTCCCCAGTAATAAGCGGGAGCCCTGCAGGATGAGGTAGTAGGCAAACAGGGGAGTCCCTTCAGGACCTCTCCCACAGTCCCCGACTGTCCTAATCCACTGTTCAGCAGGAGCACACTCTCCTCCAGTTCACGTGCGCGCACACACACACACACACACACACACACATACTCGCACACACGTACACGCACGTGTGCTCCGGCTACAAAGGAAGAAGAGGGAGCTTGGGCTCTAGGATCCCTGCCTTGGCTAACTGGACCCAGAAGCCCAGACTTCCAGGCCAGGGCAGGCCAGGACTGCCTCCTCCTTTTCTCCCCCACCCAGTGCCCGCCCGGCGTCAGCATGATGATGTCACCAGAGCAAAGGAGACACACCGCCTGCCTGGTGAGGTCACCCTGCGGGCATGTGGTTGCCGGGCCGGGCCAAGCCCACGGACCCTTCTACTGCAGATCGTTTGCTGAGGCTGGTGGGCTGTGCTGGCTGGTCACTCCCCACTCTGACCGTCCCCACCCCTCCTCCCGGGAGCCCCGGGACGCTGGTCAGGAGCTGTGGTGATTCAGAGGCTGCCGCACGGTGCCTAGCCGCAGCCGCCACCAGCCACCACCTTGCGCAAGGGAAGGAACAGGCCCAACTGGCCAGACGGGATCCCTGCCCTCAGCCTCCCCCACCCCTGGCCGGGCCCCCACGGGCCTCTTTGTGGCCCTGCCCTCTGTGTACCCCGCCCGCTCCCAGACAAGCCCTCCATTCCTGGCCTGGGCTGGCGGCCGGCTCCCCTATACCAGGCCTGGGTCCCAACCTCCCTCTCTGGGTGAGGCCCCGCCTCCGATCTCCGGAGGGGACACTGAGGCAGGCAGCCACAGATGGCAGCGTCTTTGGGAAAAGAGGTCTCCTTCGGGGGGGGGGGCTTTCTCCATCAGTATCCCGGCTGGTGCAGATGGGGTGGGGACATGCAGGGGTCCCGGAGGAGGGTGTGTGAGGATGGGGGAGGGAGTCATTGGGAGCCCCCACGTGTATGGCATCTTCAGGAGAGGGCCTGGCAGGTCTCAGTGCGGGGCTCACCGGGGAGGCCGGCTCCTTCCGCGAACTGGAGAGTGTTTCACACTCGTGTGTGCTCACAGCTCATCCTTAGGGAAGTGGAGGTGCTTGTCTGCGTGGGGAGAGGGGAGCCGTGGAGTGGCGAGTGTGGGCGAACGTATGCGCAGACACGACTCTGTGCACGAGCGTCTCACATGCCCGCGTGCACGGCGCGCGTCCCCGGCCCACGGGGCTCTGAACACTGAGGAAATATTTTGATGTCGGGTTCTCCTGGCTCTGCATGTCTGTCTGTCCTAGCTGCCCTCCGTCAGGGGCGTGTGGCTCTGTGCCTTCACCTCTGCGTCTCAGCTGGAGTGTTGCCAGGCACCCCTCCCCACCTCACCCCAGACTTGAGGGCAGATTCATCTCAGGTGGAGGTAGGTACCCAGAGATGAGGTCACTGTCCCTCCAGGTGATGGGAAATTGCCATCCAGGACTCCCCAGCAGAGCAAAACAAAAGCTCACCCTACCCTTGCTCCTCAGGTTCCTACTAGAAGGACTCCCACCTTTCTCACCACTCCCCCCTCTCCTCAAGTGCCCCCCCACCAGCCCCTGGGGGGGGGGCCCCCCAGGAGGCCTCTCTCTCCCTGGGAATCTGTCAGGCCTCTGCTGCCGCTGCTCCTGCCACCACCAGAAAAACCAGCTCTAGCTCCAGGCCTGGGGTAAGGGCTGTCTGGTGTGGGTTTGGTGGGAAGGGGGGGATCGTGCCTAGGGCTAAGGGGAGGGGTCCAAGCTGTCCAGGGGCTCATTCTCCTTTGTTAACACTTGCTGCCCCTCACCCCACAGCAGCGGCCTCTACCAGACAGAGCAGGAATCTGTGGGAGAGTCTGGGGTGAGACAGAGGAACCGGGAGGAGCCCTGAAGCCCCCATTTGGGACAGGTGGCGTCAACAACCTGGGAGCCCATTTTCTTCCCCCCTTCCCCCCACAACCTTGGCCTTGGCTGAGCGCTAAGGAACTCAGAAAACTAAGAGATTCTCCCTCCGCCTCATCTCAGTCCCTCACTTAGCCCCCATTGTCCTAAGCCCCCCAGCTTAGTGAGAGCTTCCCAACCCGGGCAAAGTGCCCACCCACAGATTAGTGTCTGGGGAGGGGGGCCACACCGATCCCAGGGGGGAGGCGAGAACAATGCGGGAGGACAGGCCTTGAGGCAGCCCGGCTCTGGCCCAGACACAGCTCCCAGCGCCGATAAGTCCCCTAAACCCCCCCGGAGCCAGAGTCTGAGCCCGGCTGAGTCACCACAACAGCCACACTGTGGGTGGGAGACCCAGAATTCAGCATCTCTCAAACTCCTGAGATCCTAGCCATCCCCCACCCCGGAATCCTGCCACCCCCCCAAAGTGGGGGCTAGCTCTGCCTCACCCCACATCATCCCTCAACCCAGCTCTCGGGACTCAACCAGTCTTAAAGGCAAGCAGGGAGGGGGTGTCCAGCGAACTTGGGGAAAAGCTCCTGAGACCAGAGGCTCCCAGTCCCGTGGAAGATGGATCCAGTCCGCCTCCTTCACAGGCCCCCAGTTCTAAACTTGACCTTCAACCTTTGCCTGAGATTCAGTGTCAGACCCAGCTCCTCTCCTCCCTTCCCTCCTGACTCAGCTCCACACTCCACTCCCAGCCCTTCGCTCGGCTAGGCTTTGGTCAGTCCCAGGGGAAGCTGTGGGGGCCAGAAAGTCCGGGCCTCCTCCCCTCACAAGGCCTGCTCCCCACGGTGGCCGTGCTCCTCAGCCTGCAGCGCTCCAGGGCCCCGACGCTGTGGTCTAGAAGCTGGGACCATGGGCTGGGGGCAAACTCCTCTGCCATCTCTGGAGCTGGGGACCCCTTAGCCCAGCCCCCAGGAAACACTAGGGTGGGACCAAGGTCACTGGGGCCACAGGGCTTCCGTGGGATTCTCCGAGTCTCTGCCACCTTGGGTGGGAAAGCTGGCCTCCCCTGCTGGCTTCCCTAGGTTTGGGTACCTCCTGCCTGACTCGGCCTGCCTCCCTCGGCCTGCCCCCCTCTGTAAACAGGAGTAGAAAAGCAAGGATGGGGCCCCTCCCTTTCTAGGAAACTAACCTCGGGTAGAAAAGTGATCCTAATCCTCGGAGGGCAGGCCACAGAATTCAGGGAAGCCCTCACCCTCTGGTCCTACAGGACCCAGTTGGGCCCAGAAAAAGAGCTAGGAACAGGCATCTAGTGGAGGGGAGCCTATAGATTTGGGCCTGTAGATTTGGGCCCCTGGGCCCTGGGGCAGGAGATGGGGAAGGGAGAAGGGAAGGGACCTCACCCGGAAACTCATCCCATTAAGGAGAGACAAAGAGCTGTGGTGTCAGGTGCCTCCCTGTCAGGGGTGGGGCAGGGCCCTGAGGCTCAGAGCTCTAATGGCCGGGAGTTGGGGAGGGTGGGCACTGATTTGCAGCCGGGCAGGAGCAGGGGCAAAAGGCAGTGTCCAGGGTATAGGCCCCCTTGGTACCCCCCACCCAAGAGATGGGCCAGGACCTTTCCCCTGCTGTCATGCGGCTGGACTGACCACTTCCTCCAGCACCCAGCACCGACCGCCCCCGCCCCCTGCCCCAGTCAGGGGCTGGACAGTCACAAAGCCATAGGCCTGCAGAGCTGGAAGGTCCATGGAGATCATCAGGTCCTACCTCCCGGTCTGCTGAAGTCCACACTCTCAGCTGCCCAAGGTCACCTAGCAAATTCATAGCAGAAATGGGGCCAGAATGCAAGACTCCTGACCTCCCGTCCAAGGCTTTTTCAGAAACAAAACCAGTCCTGCTTCCCCGGGGGGCTACACAGAGAGGAGCCAGGATGGGGTGGTGGTGGAGGGGGTCACCAGGCTGGGAACTGAGCTCCAGGCTTCAGAGTACCCTCCAGCCCTGCACACGTCCTAGCAGCCCCAGTGGAGTGGTGGCTGGCTGGGCACCGGGTCCCCAGGATAAGCCTGGGGCCAGGGTGTCCCCATAGCCATAGCCCCCGCCCATCAGGCAGCGAGCAAGATCAGGGTGATGCCCTGACTACAGGACGCCTCCTTTCCCCTCCCCTGGGCTTCTCAGCAAGAACAGCTTTGTGTCCTGGAGAACAAAAGCGGGGACCACATCTGGTCCCTACTCTGTCTCCAGCAGCTAGCACCCCAGCTGCACCCAGCAGTCACTCAGACATACAAGCCTTTAATGGGCAAGGGGCTGGGAGACCAAGACACTCACCTTGGTCGTACTTCTAACACTGGTCATCTTTTTCTTTTCTTTCTTTCTTTTTTTTTTTTTTTGAGGGAGAGCGAGCAAGAGAGTGTGTGAGCAGTGGGTGGGGGAGGGAGAGAGGGAGGGGGAGAGAGAAAATCTTAAGCAGACTCCATGCCCCGTGTGAGCCCAGTGCAGAGCCCAACACGGGCCTCGATCTCAGGGCCCTGAAATCATGACCTAAGCTGAAATCAAGAGTCTGACGCTGAACTGATTGAGCCACCCAGGTGCCCCTAACATATAGCAATCTTAAGACGTCATTTGCCTACCTTTTTCTCTTAGGTAGTTTTCCCGTCTGCAAAACGAGGCAGTTCTAGTGGGGGCCTGTCCAGCCCCTTCCATGTCGTGAGACCCCATGACGCCATCATTCAGGGGCGGGTAGATCCCACAGGAGAGTGGCTGCCCATTCCCCTGGCCCCAGGGACCGGACCCCACCCTCTGGGCCTGAGCAGGTGAGGAGGGTCGTCTGGAAAATGGGAATTGAGACGGGCTGGGAGGCAGGGGTTGGAGCTCAGTATCCTGTGATTGGAGGCTGGCCAACGACCTGTCGCTCCCATTTTAAGATCAGAGGAAGTGTGGCACCCACCCACCCACCCACCCGCACATCTGTGCCTCATTCTCCCCCCAGCTTCAGCGGGGGACAGAGACGGGAATCACTGCAGCGCACTGCTCAACAATGAGATTCCCTTGCAGCTGAGCCTGAGGCCATCCGGACAGGGCTCTGTCTTCCGAGGACAAAGATTCCTCATTTACTCATTACCCTGGAAGCAGCCTAGGGAATCCCACTGTGGTCTCACTGTGCACACGCGGGCATAGACACACACAATCTCTCTCTCTCTCCTCCTCTCTGAAGATTATAAATTCCGGTAACTCATACGCATCAGGCAAGAGTAACAGAAGGCATCTAGTCAAGGAAATAAGGGGACAGGGAATAAACAAAAGGAGGCCACACCCCGTCTAGAAGGTTCCCTACCCTAGACCCCCCTTCAAGTATCACGCCCACCTGACCACCCAGACAGTTAACAGTGTGCCCAGGGAGAGACAGGGGCCGGAGTGGAGGAGCTTCCAGCTCCCCAGCTGTCTCCCAGCAGGTGCTCCGGTCTCGGAACTCTCGGACATCAGGGAGAGGGGAGAAGGAAACAGGAACGCCCTGTCTACTCTCTGGGCATCAGGCTTCCTACCTCTGATGATTCTAAACCGGCTCAGCCCTGAGTCAGCCCAGCAGCAGTCAGCAGTTTTGGAGCCTGGGGGGCAGGCGAAGGAGCCTCCAGGAAGCCCTGGGGTGAGAGGGTCCCTACCTGCTCCCCCCACCCCACCCACCTGCCCGGGGCCACCATGTCTTGTTTCTTAGGCGAGGCTGTGGCAGAGGTGATCGGGGACTCCAGACACAGCGACATGGCCTGGGGCTGAAAGAGGGCATGAAGGGGAAGAGCGACCCTGGCTCTGCGGGGGGCCCTACTGGCAAGTGGTGGCGGGGAGAGGCAGATCAGTTCGACAGTCCAGAGTCAGAGGAAAGAGAATGTTTACGTGTACGCGCGTGTATGCGTGTGCGTGTGTAAGTGTGTACTGGCTTGGCCTCGGAAGCCAGGGTCCTGATGGCTTAGGCAAGTCCTACCTGTAAATGATGCCAGCAGCAGCAGCAGCAGCAGGGCCTCGGGCCCCCACGTCTCGGCTCCCAGGGACAGGGGCATCGTTCAGGAGGTGGAGCTGCCCAGTGTTTCTGAAGTCCCACCGCGTTCTCCCTGGGAGCCGGCTCTAGGGCTGGAGAGGGCACCGACCGGGAGACAGCAGATCACAGCGTCTTCAGGCCTGAACACACCTTCCTGTCCCTCTGGGGTCCAGCCCTGCTGTGCCCACCCAGCTAGAGCTACCCCCCAAAGGCCGTGGTCGGGAGCTCGGAGCTCCCCTAGAGCTGCTTCCCACGCCGTGGCCAACAACGATGGCAGAAACCTGGGAACCTGCTCAACAGGTCAGAACAGGTGCGTCTCCGGGGGTTGGGCCTGGCACAGAGGCTCAGCAGCCACCGCCCCCACGGCCTGGGCTAGCTAATGGGCGCCAGTGAGGGAGGGAAGGAGGGAAGGACCTGGTGGGGAGGGAGGGGGGATCCCATCATCAGCTCCAGGCTTTACCTGGCAGCATAGAAGAGGCTGAGAAGGGAGAGGCAAGGTGCGGGGCGGGGGGTGGAGGGCTGGGAGGGGTAGAAGGCGGCCCAGGGTGGCTCAAAGACGGAGGCACTAGGCCAGGAGGAACCGGGGCAAGGCCCTTGTGGGTGGAAAGGAACCCAAGCATCCCACACCCCGGCCAGCTTTGCTGCCTCCCCAGGACCTTGCCAAGTTCCCCAATCTCCTGGAGGGGTTCAGCCTTGATGCTGAGAATCGAAGACCGGAACTGAGAAGTACAGCACTGGCCCCATAGACCTCATTCTCCAGATGAGGAAAGAGGGCCAGAGAGGGGACCAGGCTTGCCGGAGGACATACAGCTTCGACAGTAACACGGTTTTCTTGGACAGCTCTATCCCTGAGACAGGGATCTAGTTCAAAGATCCCGGAGAAGGAGCTTAGGTGATGCCCTTGATCCCACATTCTATAGCAGAAGCCAAAGGACTGACGGAGAAATTAGCCCCTGCCTCCTGGCCTCCCTAGCGGGACTCTCTCAGCTTCAGCACCTCCCCGTCACCTGGCCAGGAGTCCCAAAAGCGCATCAGCGTAACTCTCCATGGTTCATTTTACCCTTTTATTCCATGGTCATGTAATGAGAGCACGTCTGGACTTTGTGAGGGTAATCTTCATTTCAAATACTGTCCTTGTATCCTTGTAAATATATGTACTCACACTCGTAAGACCTCGAGCATCAGATGCCACCACCAAGTCACACAAACCCCTCCTGGCCAGTCTGGGATAGCCAGGGGAAGGGAACCAGCTCTGAGCCCCCTGAAAACTGGGTGAAGGAGAGGGACAAGCTCATGGGCAGACTGGGGTTAAGAAAACCAGGTAAATACAGAGTGAAACATGAGAAAAGAAAATACAGGTTAAGTTTGGGAGCAGGACCCTTTTGCCTGGCCAGAGGTGGGAAGGAGGACTCCAGAGCAATAAGGGAAGGTCATCTCGTGTAAGGGTCTCCCATACCCCACAGCCCACGCCCCCAACTCTGCCAAAATCAAATTCATCTTTCCAAGCGGACCTCAAGTGCCACATCATCCACGAAGCTTCCTCAGCTCCTCCCGCCCAAAATGAATCTTTCTCCCTCTATTCTTCCCCAGTCTCTGCTAGTCCCTTTATTATAGCTTGTGTCCCCATAATTTGTGCACATCTTATCTCCTTTACTAAATGTAAGCTTTGGTTCACGAAGCATGGATTGGAGCCTGCTGCGTGCCAGGGACTCGGCAAATATGTGAAGCTTTAGGGACGGGACCAGAGCCGGGGTCTGTGAGCTGGTGGAACATCAGGCTTGTTGGATGACCTCATCTCTGTCACCCCTGCTAGGTCAGTCCGCAGCACTTAGTGGGCACTGAACACATTTTTGTCGGAGGCATGAGTCGGTGAGTGGAGGGATGTCAGCATGGAAAAGGTGGTCCAGGAGGGTCAGTGAAGGGGAGATCCCGACTCTCCTGAACTCGGGCCGTCACCCAGACTCGCACCCCCGCCTCTGGACGGTGACCCCCACTCCGGTCCAGATCCAGCTCCCTGCAGTGGCCATACTGGTGACCTCTTCTTCGAGGGCTATTTCCAGCAGGTCAGGGGTGGCCTCGGGGGCCAGGCCAGATGCCCAAACTCCCCAGTTTCTCTCCGCCTCCACCTTGGCAAACCCCCTCCCCTCCTTAGGACGCAGGTCTCTGCCTGTGCCCGAGGAAGAGCCTCACCCCGATGCCGCTTTGAGATCCGCTGCGGCAGGGGTGGAGCAGGGCCAGGGGGGATGGGAGGGGGGAGCATCCTGTGTTATAATTATAATTATCACACCTTGGATCCTATCGCATGGTTTCAGAGGAGCTCCTTTCCTTCCCACGGATTCACCCCTCCTGGTCCAGGAAACCGGAGGAGAAACTGAGGCATGGGTGTGGGAGAGCAGTGAGGTCACAGGGTGGGCATCCCGCTCCTGTATCCCCCGCCACCCCTGCCTTCCCGTTCTCAGGATACCCCCACCCCTCCACAGTGCCACTGGCCAGCAAGTCTGCGAGCGCCTCCGTCACTCACCTCTGCTCTGGCCATATGGAGCACTGAGGGGAGGTGGGACTTGCCAAGGCCAGGATGTCCCCAGGGCAGTCAGGCCAGGCAGCTGCTCCTGGCCTTGGCTTGAGGTAGGAGTCTGGCCCCCCTCACCCAGCGATCCCCAAGTCGCTCTTCGCCCTGTGCCCTGGTGCATCTCACGAGAGTCGTGCTCTTGGGGGAACAGGTCCTCACACTTAGGCCTGCCCTTGCCTCATCTGGGACGAGGCCTCGGGGAAGGCAGATTCCAGGGCTGAGGCTGGAAGAAAATCCTGGCTGGGGGAAACCTTCTAGACCAGTGCCTGATTTCCTGGGTTCTGTTCTTTCTTCCTTACTGAAACCCCATTCCCCTCGTGCTTCACAACCCACCCTCCTCCCACCCAAATTCTGGGCCCGACCAGTGGGAGTGATTCAAGCCCAGGCGGCTTCTTGAGCGTGTGTACCCATCTGGGCGGCAACACCGTGCCTGCCTGCCTCAGTTTACCCACAGACACTCAGTGGGCACCCCTTTGCAGCAAGCTCCAGGGAGGGGACAGGGACACCTCACATGCAGTCCCTGCCCTCCAGGGGCCCTCAGGGAGGAGAGCTGGGAAACAAACTACAGGACGCTGTATCCCGCCAACTTTGTTCCCTTCGTGTCTCTGTGCACCTGCCGTGTCCACACTTGGGGCTGTTCCCGTGAGCGCGACAGCCGACGTTCACAGTCTGTGTGTGTCCAGGCATCTGGTTACAACTCATCTCTGTCCCCATGGCAGGCTGCACACCTAAGCCAAACTGGTCGGAGTGGGTTGTGCTGAAATTTTTTGTTTGTGTCAATGGGACTTGGAGGTGAGTCAGGGAGGGACATGGATGGGTGGGGTGGGGAGAAGAGTGAGAGTGAGGGTCAGGCCAAGCGAGGGTGGGGAGGAGCTGGTCAAGGCGGGCAAAGGGCTGGGCTGGGGGCGGTCAGGTGGAAGGGTTGGGGTAGGAGTAAATCAGAGAGCTTCTTAATGAGTAACAGCCCTATTCCAGTGAGATCAGAGAAGAGTCAGAGGCTTGGGGGCGGAACAGGGGGACCCTCAGGCTTTGGGAGAGAGGAGAATAGATTATAAATCAGAATGTCCCCCCAGTGGGGACAAAAGGTCTGTGACCCATGTCTATCTAGCTTTGCTTCTCCGTGTCATAGGAAGCCGTCTCTGACCTGCTCATTGCCTCGGTCTCTACAGTTTGTAGAGAAAGGGTTTGGGCGTGCTGATGGACACTGTGGTGGAAGACTGCTGACATGGGAATTGATGCTGTCCCCCAGGACCAAAGCTGTTTCAAGCTTAAAGCTTGCTTCTCCTCCTTCCTAGGATGCCCCCCACATGCAGAGATCCCCACACAGAGAACAGGTTCCGGCAGCTTTTCCTCCCCTGGAAAACATGTTTGCCCCCTGGGGCTGGAGCATCACGGTGCCCATGTTAGGACGGTGGCATCCTGTTTTCCAAGAGATTTCATCTGAAGCTTCCGTCCGACACGTGCTGCGCTGTTCCTGTCTCCCCAGGCTGCAGGCTCCGTGACGCCTGGTCCCCGGCCCCATTCCTTCCCAGCAGCCACACTTCCTGGTTGCCTCCCAACTCCCTTGGAGCTCAGGGGGCTGGAGCTGCTTGCTCCTAAAGAGGTCTACAGCTGGAGTGACCCACCGTGGGACATGGCTCAGCAAAAGGCACATGTGGGCCCCGTTCCTTCTGAGATGGGGTGCAGAATCCCCTCCTCCCTGCTCTCAGTCCACGGGCTCCCCAGGCACCTGCAAGTACATGACCATGAACTCAGGGATGGGGGCCTGCCTGGAGTAAGAGAGAGATGCTTTTATTCTTTGACCCTGGGTCTCTGGATGGCCTGGTACTTTTAGAAGGCTCCAGAAATAGGTCATGGCGGGTCTAGGACAAGAGAGGGAGCCCTCAGGGAAATCAGAGTCTTCCCAGCAGTGACAGCATCAGCAGGAGATACAGCAGCAAGGAGTAAGCGCAAAGTCAGGCAGGGTCCTGGGAGCCTGGTGAGAGAATGGCTTCTAGTGAGGACCCCAAGCTGGGTCCCCCTGCACTCTCCCAGTCTCCACCCCAACCACAGAGGGCACCAGGATCCTCCCAGGAAGCCCACCTGCTGGGAAACATGGAGGCAGCCCCCAAGGGCCAGCTGGCTCGCAGAGCCCACACCGCCAGGGGCGCCTTCAGGAAGCTCCAGGCCTTTGGCGCTTCTCCTGCTCATCCAAACCCTCATCCAAACGCTCAGCTCGGATGCAGCGGGTCTGCTGTCTCTGCCGACCAGACAGCCTGAGCCACTTCCTGGCCACCCGCCTGCGCTCCTGTCACTCCCGACTCAGCCGCCCCCAGGGGAAGGCAAGCCTGCCCAGGCGCTACAATCCAGCCTCAACCTGGGACCCGGCAGTGCGGGTGGCAGGGCGGCTGCGGAGTCCAGGAGGCCCAGGGCTGTGGGGAGCCTGGAAGGGCTGGGAGCTTCTCCAAGAGTGGGGAAGGCCCTGAGGGCAAAGGCAAGAGTTCCTGGAGGGGAGATCTGAGAGGAGAGGGGCCGAGGCTGAGAGGACAGGAGGGGGAGGGCGACACCGGTGGAATGGGGGAGGAACTAGGGACTCCCGTAATTTGAGGGCAGATTTTCTTTTGAAGTGTGTTGGCAGATCTTCCTTCTGCGTGGCCCCGGAACGCCCGCCTGCTGGTCTCGTGAACCCAAGGTCCGTCTTGCTCTCCCCTCCGAGACCCAGGCCCCCTCGCACCTGCAGCCTGCTCAGAGGCCAGGACGTGGTGCCGCTGCGGAGGGATGGGGCCCAGGGGCCCTGGGAAGCAGGGACCCGTTCTCCTAGTCCCGAGACACCCCCAAGGCCTCACTCCCACTGCCCTTGGAGACTGGGCCCCAACCCCGCCTGTTTGCAGCCCTGCAGACAGCGAGGTTGGGAGACGTTCAGGTCTGCGGCCGAAGCAGGGGCAGGCCTCTGACTCCCCCCAACCCGAGCAACC